AAAGTAGAATTGCCATCTTTACCGGTAATAAGTGTGTGTGAGAAAAAGGGAGAGTAAAATGCACAAAGTAAAAGAGTGAACAATAATAAAACATCAAAGAAAGTATCACCTCTTCCATCAGATCTCTAATTCATCTTCAAATCAATGAATACTAAGCATTTCCCGCCGCCTTCTGCTCCTCCCACACGGTGATCAGCTCCTCCGGACTGCCGTAGCCGTGCGAGGCAATCACCTCCCGGTAGGCGGCCTTCTCATAGCCATACTTGTGAAAGTACATGTGCGGGTTGTGCACCAGCCGGACGCCCATCTTGTGGGCGAGGATGCCCAGGTAGACGTCGTCGTACTTGAACTTGGCCGTGTAGAGGCTGGCGTAGTGCAGATCGGCCACGGTGTGGTTGTTCAGGAGGAAGCAGCCGCCGGTGACGTAGGGCGGATAGCGGGAGAAGGGGTACTCCGCCAGGCTGATGTACCACTTGCTCGGCAGGTGGCGCATCGGGCGCGAGTGGGGAAAGACGAAGCCGGTGTAGAGGCGGCCGTCGAAGTGGACGTACTCATTTCGATTGTCTGATTTCGCCTGCTCCAAACTGACATCGTCCTCGCCGTCGTCCACCTCACTACCATGAGCTGCTCTGCGGAGAAAGTTCCGTGTAAACTTGAGCAGATTCTTCACCGACACGTAGTAGTCGTCGTCGACGAAGAGGAGGAAGGGCACCTGGCTGCAGTGCGTCACCGTCCAGTGCAGCGTGGCCATCGTCTTCAGGGTGTTGTTGTAGTAGGAGTCGGTGAACTCCGCCTGCACCAGGTCCTGGTGGGCGGCGTACTCGGCGTCGATCAGCTGCTGGCAATCGAGTGGATATGGTTCCGATGGTGATGGTGATGATGATGATGATGATGATAACTTAGGCCACGAGGAATCGTCAGTGGTAGCTGCAGTTGAGGAGTCATTGCACTTGGGCAGCCAGGTAAAGGCCTTTGTGGCAAAGAGAGGGGACAGCCTGGAGGTGATGGTACACTGGGAAGATGTGGTGGTGGTAGTGGTGATTGGACTAGTTCTACTTCTCCGAGAGGAGGTGGTTGATGCTGATGAAGAAGTGGGCGGACACCGACCGAGGACAAAAACAGTGCGAATGTTCACATCGGCGAATCGCTTTTCGTAGCCCCAGGTCTGGCGAATCGCCGCCCGAAGGCGGTAATTGCAGACGGCTGACTTGACCACGATCAACAGCGTCAGCGGACTGGGCGGAATTGAGGCAGATGAGGCAACACACTTGCCCGCCGGACTGTAGTTGTAAGCGAAAGTGAAGTTGTTGAGCGGCGTCGCCAGCTCGCTGGAGTGCAGCTTCAGCTTGACCGTCTCAATGAGATAGCGGAAGTTTGGCGTGGAAAGCGGGTAGCTGAAGTTGGTCTCGTAGTCGAGCTCGAGGAGGTGCGTGAAGACGCCAAAGATGTACAGCAGGAGGATGGTGATGATGCCCGCAGAGCAGAGCAGCTTGAAGCGGTACCGCCGGAGTTTGATCTTCACGTGGTACTTCCATTGCCTTTGGTTATCTGGGCAAGGATTGAGGAAAAAGAGGAGGTGTCAGAAAATAATAAAAAGAACATAAACAAACAAAAACCACGTACTTTGAAATGATGAGTTCAGCAGAGTGTAATTGAAAGTCATGATTTGAAGTAGGGAAGTGCCGGTGAAGAACGGCGGTGGGCCCGGTGGAAAAGACTGACCTGCTAAAAAAGTAAATCGTCACAAGATCTTTTTACCACACCCTTTGCCACCGTCGTACATACCCCAATATCACTAGTCGTACACTACCAAGCAAGGCATCCTCTTCATCACCACCACCACATCCACTTCTGTGATCTCAGCAGATTACACTTTCCTTGAAGAGAGAAGGCTGAGATTGGCTGTTGGCGGGACAGCACCACCAAAGCAAAGTAAACAGGCAAAGTAAAAAATTCTCCGGTGCTCAGGTTGCGACGCTCGGCAGACAACTCTAGGCAACAGAGGAGCCCGTTACCACGCCATCACAACCACCGTTGTCGCTTTCAGTATCACCACCATCATCATCACTTTGGGGACTGAAGAAGATGGAAATCTGAAAGAAGAAGGACAAAAATGACAGCCACCAAAACACAGATGAAACAGAGAATCCCTGGTGAAAGCACTGTCAACAGTGGTGGTGGTGGTCGCAGCTTCGATGCTGTGCAGGACGTCTTCTGCGTACGCCTCGCGCGCGTGTCTCTGCACACCTGGGGAAATCGTGCACATGTTTTGAAGCGCAATCACGCACAATTTTTTTTCGGTGGCAGATTTTCCTTCTTTCTTCTGCTTCTTTTTCATGTGCTTGCTGCCTTCGCGCTTCTCACCTTTACCTCAATTGATCACCATCATCATCTTCAGCAGCAAAAAACAACAGCAGTACTTTCACTCGAGTGAGACGATTTGTGCGTGCGAAACAGTATCACCACCGCCGGTGCACCCAAACAGTCGACCCCGAAGTGGTTGTTGTTGTTGAGTCACAATGACGTCAACTGATTCAACGGCGGCAGTGTACGATGGCAGCAGCTCCGATGACGCCCGGTCACTGGCGACGGCGACGACGACGGCAACAGCAGCAGCATCTGCCACTTCAGCTTCATTATCATCGATATCAACGGCAGCGACATCAGCGACAGCAGCAAGTACCGGCACCAATGACACTGAGCAGATGACGGCAGCGTCGACGGCGGCTGCGGCAATGGATCATCAACAGACGAGCAACTCCTCCCCCGGCAGCCCATCCTCCACTTCATGGTCAACTGGCGAACAGGAGAGCATCGACCAGGACAGCAGCAGCAGCCTGCTGCCCGTGGCGGCCGTCTGCAACAACCTCGACCTGTACATCAACTCCCTGCGGACGTCCCGCTTCGTGGGCGCCGTCCTCGAGGAGGTGGACCAGCTGGAGGACGGCTCCTTCGTGGTCGCCTCCAGCTGCATCGACTCAAAGTACAATGCCGGCTATGTCACGCGCTTTCCCTCGCTGGAGGCCATTCCCGCCAGCGCGACCGACTGCCTCTACATCAACCCCGGTTTCGGGCCCATCAGCTCGATGGTGACCACCTCGGAGCGGTCCACCCTCAAGTCGACCTCCTCGGCGCCGCCGCTGATTTTCGGCGGTTTTGACAGCGGCGCCGTCGTCGCCTTTGGCCAGTCGCAGCTGGAGATCGTGGAGACGAAGCGACTCTTCCACAACGTCGTCAGCCGGATCCGCCTGAGCGCCGGCGCCGCCTCTCCGCGCCTCCTCGCCGCCGACCTCNACCTCGACCTGTACATCAACTCCCTGCGGACGTCCCGCTTCGTGGGCGCCATCCTCGAGGAGGTGGACCAGCTAGAGGACGGCTCCTTTGTGGTCGCCTCCAGCTGCATCGACTCAAAGTACAATGCCGGCTATGTCACGCGCTTTCCCTCGCTGGAGGCCATTCCCGCCAGCGCGACCGACTGCCTCTACATCAACCCCGGTTTCGGGCCCATCAGCTCGATGGTGACCACCTCGGAGCGGTCCACCCTCAAGTCGACCTCCTCGGCGCCGCCGCTGATCTTCGGCGGTTTTGACAGCGGCGCCGTCGTCGCCTTTAGCCAGTCGCAGCTGGAGATCGTGGAGACAAAGCGACTCTTCCACAACGTCGTCAGCCGGATCCGCCTGAGCGCCGGCGCCGCCTCGCCGCGCCTCCTCGCCGCCGACCTTTCCGGCCGCCTGGTGGTCCTCGACGTGGAGACCTTTGACCCGCTGAAGGTCTTCGACTACGCCCACGACGGCCCGGTCTACGATGCGGTGTGGCCGAGCCTGGCCCACCACCGCAGCGCCGGCGACTCGCTCTTCCTCTCCGCCGGCGGCGACAATGAGATCCTCGCCTGGGACCTGCGCACGACCACGCCGGCCACGCTGGTGCCGCCCGCAAAAGCCGTGCTCTGCTGCAGCAGCGCCCCCACCGCCCTCCTCTGGCCCACCGAGGCGGAGATGCTCTTTGGGACGGAGGCGGGCAATCTGGTGCGCTTTGACCTGCGCTCGAAGCGTGCCCTAGCGGTGCAGGCCGCCTTTAACGACCGCCCCATTCGCAAGATTGTCCCCGTGAAGTGCTTAGGAGGTGGTGGTCGGGACATCATCGCCGTCATCGCCGACGACTCCCCCGAGGTGCTCTACTACGACCGAAAGAACTTGGAGCCGGGGGCGGTGCCGCTCAGCCGACAGAGCTATGGTTTTGATGTGCGCTCCGTGGTGGAGATTGTTTCTGGTGGTGGTGGTGATCAAGACGGACTTCAAACATCTTCCTCCCGACTGGTGACCATCGGCACGGGCGGCGGCATCAGTGTTCAGCATTCCTCTGACATCATTCGTTGAACTTCTTTTTGTGCACACTGTAATACTTCGGTTGTAAATATTATCAAAATTGTAATAAAAGTAAATACGTTACGTGTTCGGAAAACTGTTTCTGGGCAGTAAGAGTGTTCCACATCTGTGTCAAGAAGAGGCATCCCAAAACAAAAATCCTTTTCGAAGCTTTTAGTTTTCATAGTACCTCAAAGTGCCACAAGGCAGCGCTGTGCTTGCTTGCAGAACCACGTGTTTTGTTTGCCTCTCTCTTCTCTTCTGTTGTTGTTTTGCAACTCCTGATTCTTTTAGGTTTGAAATCTTATTCTTATTCTTGATCCCCTCCCCTTCATGAAACCACGATGGCGGCCAAAGCTCGTGGTAAACCTACAACATCATCATCATCATCTTTATCATCAGCAGCAGCTAAGAAGGCGCTGAAAGATCGGTGGCGGCCGATGGTGATCGAGTCCACCGAGGGCCTCAGCTCGGCAGACTTTGCCGGCCTGGTTGGCCTCGAGGAGCTCAATCCGGCCGACTTTGCTGGCGACCTGAAGATCATCAGGGGCGGCAGAAAGAGAGGAGGCAGCTCTTCATTTGCTGAAGAAGAAGAGGAGGAAGCGTTGTCGAAGAAAAAGAAAAAGAAGAAGAAGCAGGCGAAAAAGAAGGTCTCGTCTTCAGTTTCCGAGGCGACGACGGTGGACTTGAATGATGGCGACGATGATGATGACAATAATGACAACGTCCTTGACGGCGAGACGGCTGCTGAAGCCTCCACCGATCCATCCTGGTCAGTGAAGTCTATGGCCGTTGATGATAAGAAGGATGAACCCGTTCCTAGTGATGACGATGATGATGATGATAAGCCCAAAACTATCATCAACTCAACTGCCTCGATGTTTGAGTGGGCGTCACTGGGCGTTCCAGAGCACATCCTCGACCGCCTGCAGGCGCTCGGCCTGACCTCGCCCACTCCGATTCAGGTGGCGACCATTCCCGGGGCACTGGCAAATGGCAAATTCGATGAGGGTGATGATCTTCGAAAAGACATCTACGGGGCGGCGCCCACTGGCAGCGGCAAAACGCTCGCCTTTGCCATTCCAATGGTGGCGCAGATTGTTGCCGAGAAAGAGAAGAAACTCCCGGAAAACTTCTCTTCTTCAAACTCCTCCACCTCAACCTCTCGTCTTCGCGGCCTCATCCTCACGCCCACCCGAGAGCTGGCCGTGCAAATCAAGAAGCACATTGAGGCGATCACCATCGGCGGAAGTGGAAGGTAAGTCTCAAAACGTTTTCGAACTCTCCTCAAACTAACTCCTCTTTCTCCACTCAGCTCAAACAGAGACCTCGTCCGCACGGCTCTGGTCGTCGGCGGCCTGGCCATCCAAAAGCAGGAGCGCATCCTCAGTCACCACCAGCCGGACATTGTGGTGGCCACGCCCGGTCGCCTCTGGGAGATCATCAGCTCCGGCTCGGTGCCCTACCTGGACCGGAAGTCCATCCAGGCAGTTCAGTACCTGGTCGTCGACGAGGCCGATCGAATGGTGGAGCGGGGGCACTTTGAGGAGCTGAAGCAGGTGATTGGACTGCTCAATGAGCAGCAGCAGCAGCAGCCTTCAGTCTCAAGGCGACAGACCTTCATCTTCTCCGCAACGCTTACCCTTCAAAAGAAGAAGTCGAAAAAGCTGAAGCACCGAAAGAAGGCGGACAGTGAAACTCCCAATCTAATTGACCTCCTTCGCCTGGACCAGTCTCGGCTGTTGGTGGTCGACCTGACGGAGGGCGGCCTCCGCTCGACGCCCTCCGCTGATCGTCTTCAGGAGGAGATCATTCACTGCCTGAAGGAGGAGAAGGACGTCTACCTCTACTACTTTCTACTGGAGCAGCAGCAGCAGAACTCCGATCCCAAATCACAAAACCACAAGACAATCGTCTTTGCAAACAGCATCGACTGCCTGCGCCGGCTGCTCAACCTCCTGCGCTTCCTCGGCCTCGCCCCGCTGGTGGTGCACTCCTCGATGCCGCAGAAGCGGCGGCTGACGGCCATTGAACGCTTTACCACCAATGCTTCAAGCTCCTCTTCAAGCTCTTCAGGACAAGTCCTGCTGGCCACCGACGTGGCGGCCCGCGGCCTGGACATCCCCGCCGTCTCCGCCGTCGTCCACTACCAGTGCCCCCGGTCGGCGGAGATCTACATTCACCGATCCGGAAGGACGGCTCGAGGGCAGCGAGCCTCCGGCCGAAGTCTGATCCTCTGTGATCCTCAGGAGGAGGCCTTCTTTCTGAGAGATTTTTGCCGGATTCTGGGTAAGAATGC